GTAAGAGAAACAGATCAGGATAGCATGGAATATTTTTGATTTGCAATTTTCTAGATATTTGTCCAGAATAAAGTAGGCATCTCCGTGGCAAAAAAGTCTTGAACCATACAAATCTCATTTTCTAGGAAAAAAATCTTAAATCTGGTATAAAAAACCCTGTTCTTCCAAATGCAGGCAAAACATAGTAGGCTGGATATGATAAGAGGCTCTTTGAGGATGATTATCCCTTCAAATAAGATCTCAAGTGAACTTTTCAATACTGTTAACAAACGTTTGGAATAAGCCAAATGCATATAAGGAAATAAGGTTAAATATAAGAAAATATAGGTTAAAAAAAAAAAAAAAAGCCAGGATTTTAATGTTGTTTTGTCTGAAAATTTATAACCTTGCAAAGAAGCCTCCATGACTGCAGTAAGTGCTAACAGTGGAAACAGAAAGCAAGAAAAAAACCAGGGGATCCAAAACAAGCACTGTTAGGATATACTGTTATATTAGAAACATTACCTTACAGAACATGTCCCGGAGATCATCTTTTGGGCTAATCCACGACGCAACAGCATCACAAAAAAAAATAAAGTCCTACAAGATTAAACAATCACATAGGTTAGAAACCTCAATTTATAGGTCTGAAAACAACGCTTGATGATATCAGCTATGCAGGGTCTTTGATCTTTTTCAGAACTGCTTTTGTTTTTATGTATTTATGTTCCAGTTAATTCAGACAATAACAGTAAGTTATTGTATGCCTAAGTGCTCACAAACAGAAATAGCTGAGTGTGGCAATAGCTTTTGTTTAATTAGGTTTTTGATTAATAAAACCACAGTTATAAAAAAAACAACTCTCCCCTGCCACACCACACTTGCCTAACTTGAATTCTTTCAGGACACATACCAAGTTCAACAACCAATCACCTTAATAACAAGCAAAAAACTCAAGACCGCAGTCACAACACTCACTCTTTCACACATTTCCAGTTGGGGAAAAAAGCTGTTGTATTTCTTCAAGCAGGGCCAGAACTTTTTTTTGTGGGACACACAGAATGTTTATCATAGAGGTTCAAAACTAAAGCCACCCCAAAATCCCTATACTTAGTTCATCTGCTGTCATGCATTACCTCCTACCACACCATTAAAACACCAGTCTTTAATCATTATGTTGATAACGCACATGTGTTTGGGTAGGAACTGAGGATAACAACTAGAGAGAAGGAGAGATGGGATAATGGAAACAGTCTTTAATTATGTCCTCCCCTTAAGCTATGCGAAAGAACAAATGGACAGCAGAAGAGGGAAATGCTAAGTACAGAATAAGGCATAAGTGAAATGAACTGAAAATTTCAAAACAAGGTAGAGGCTCAGTTCTTGTGTTTCAGGAAGGAGAATTCCAGGCAGAAGAGAGGGAAAATCACCTTCATTTTCCTCTTAGAAAACATTACATTGGTACAGCTTTACTTTGGAGGTGTGGAGTCTAAAGAGCAAGTCATATTCTCTTCTTCAGATGTACCATTTATTTTAGAGATACATGTTCCTTGTCGCATTGACTATTTAAGCAATATATCCAAAGTTGAAACAATCTTCCCTACCCAAGTTGTAAAAATAAAGAGGTGGTTACTGTTTTTGTTCTGTTTCTTGTTTTAAAAGCCTAGGTTACATCTGGAAAATAGGTTTAAGTATGTCAACTTTTGGCTTACATTTTTATACAGGTCCTGAACACAACCTGACAGAAGTATCAAAATACAGTTATTTTAAGCAAAATTCATTATTTACATATTCTTTCTAAGTAAAAGAAAAAACCTGAATTTAACAATACTCTTCTCTTTTCCTTTGCTAGGTGATAATTACTGAAGCATCATGATACGTATCATTTGCAATATAAACATTGTGGCCTCCTTGACCTCAAAATAAAGCTACATCATGTACTGCAGGGAATCACATCATACTCCATATACAGCTTTCACTAAATTTCACACGAGTAAAGAAAAGAAGTTAAGATCTATTCATGTATCTTACTTGAACTACTCCACTGGGGTTGACCGAGATCATGGTACATATCCCACGGAACGCTGAATCCTTTTCCTCATTGTCTCTTATGTTTCGCAGAGAGGTGCACCTAGCAAGTTGGAGACCAAAACTTAGATAACTCTATTACTTTTTCTTCAATCAAGTCAGAACTAGATGACAGTATTTGATGGAATAAGTCACACTGATGATGATAATGATCTGAAACGCTATTTTGAAGACTTAGAAAAAGTTGTCCACAGTCTTTACTAGCATATTCCCATTAGGCATCACCTCCATAATCTTGCTTTCCTATTGTACTATATACAGTTATGAAGTGTGACCTGTATTCCATTAAATACAAAAGAAACATGTATCTGAAATATTTATAGAAACTATCATTATTAGAAGCGGAACATATAATACTATCACAGTATGAATTATGTCAGATACCACTTACAGAACAGTTATTTAACTTTTACAGCAGCAAGCAAGCTATTTT